CCCGCCGACAAGCGATGGGCGACATCCCCGGCCTCGTGAAAATCAGCGTCTCCCTCAAAATCCAGCCCAACGACGGGGCGGTGTATTTCAAGGTGGACGGGCAGCGCTTCGGCCAGAACCGCACCATCAAGCTGCTGACAGGGGCCAAGTACAAGATCGAGGTGGCCCTGCGGCCCGGCACCGTCCAGGCCACGTAAGTGCAGCCTCCCCGCTCGGGGCGGCTCCCTGCGCCCGCTCTTCCCCACTCCTTTACATTTTAGAGGTTTTTTTCCAGACAGGCTGATAGCACGGGGTTTCCGTGATTTTTCGTTCCCCGCCCCTTTTGGTTCCGTGGCCCCGTTTTTAGGTCCGTGGCCAGCTGTTCCCGCGGCTCTGCCGCGTTTGGGAGCTACTCCCTGCCCACCTTCCCCCTGGAGCCCCTTTTCACCCTCCCTCATCCGCTGTTTGCCCTAGAGGCAGAAGGAAGAGGCCCCTCCGGCTGCAGCCCAAGCCCTGCTGCAGCACGGCAAAGCAGAGACTGGCACCAGGGAGGATTGCAACTAGGGAACCAGCTCTGGGTGGAGGGGCGGCCCTGGAGAAGAGCTTCAACAAACCTCTCCCCCGCTACCTCCAGACCAGATCCCTCCCGCCTTTCCTTTCGACACCTTCCCTGGGTGACTGCAGAGCCCTGACATTTTTCAGGAGCCCCAGTGAGTCAGCAGCAGCTGCAGGGCTGCTGAAATCCCCTGAAGCATCCCCCAGCAGAGAGGCTGCCAAGTTGCCAGCCAGCGTGCTGGCTCTAAGCTTCCAGGAAAGGGGGGTGCAGGGCTGCTGAAAGGCTGGATCCCCTCTCTTTGCAGGACAATGGGCATCGGTGGCGTCAATGTCCCCCTGGAAGAGAAATCAAGGGATGCACAGGTGGCCTCTTACACAGGCATCTACGACACAGAAGGGGTGCCCCATACCAAGAGCGGGGAGAGACAGCCCATCCAAGTCAACATGCAGGTACGTGGCTCCCCCAGCCTGGCACGGGGAGACAAGGGGAGTGGGGGGGTGGGGTGTGACTCCTAGAGAGAAGTGTGGAGGTCAAATATTCCAGGGCAAGGTCTGATCACAGCTGCTGCCCTCCTCCCTCTTTGCTTTGCACTGGTAAGACTGCTGGTGGGAGCATACCTGGAAAACACAAGCCCTGCTTCCCCAGGGGAATTCACGAGAGCAGCAAGGGCCTCATAGTAGGGGTGCTGCAATAGAAAGAAATGAGTGCTGAACCCCTTGCCTCTTCTGCAAGATTTATTACAGACTTGAGGCCACATCCACCAAAGTCCCAGGCTAGGAATCCAAGCCCAAACCCTTGGCATACAGGGACCCCCCTTTTGCCTGCCAGCATGGCCAGGTTTTTGGAGCAGAGCACACCCGAAGCATAAGGGGTGACTACCTTCCCCTTCCACCTGTCAACTGTGGGATGCTTGAGGGCCTGCCAGAGGCTGAAAGCACAAGCACACCCCCACAGCCCCCCAAAGGCTGTCTTCTCCCCTTCTTTCCCCATACACTTAAATTTTTCACATTATCTCTGCATTCACCAACCTAAGGTCTTATTCAAGAGGCTCCTCACCCCAACCTTAAAGAGAAGCTCCAAGGGCCAGAATCAATATATGCCATGGCCCCAAAGTGAGATGACAGAAGCTCCAGCCCATAAGGCAGCAGAGCTGACAGAAGACAGGAAGAGCAGCAGGCAGATTTCCATACACCCTCTGGGTGGTGCCCTTAGGGTGCAGAGGGAGATTAGTTCTGGCTTTGGTTTAGCTGTTTGGGTTTTTTCCCCTCTCCTGATTACAGCTGTGAGGGATTCCTGCTGCTTATTCTGTGCCTCCTGCACCAAAAGGGGAAATGAGGCAGTAAGCCATCTTCATCTGAAGCTTTCTTAAGGGTCTGTTCCAACTTTTACAAGCTTAGGGCCTTGCCAAGCCCATCAGATTTCAGCTTTTTCTCACATTTGTTCACTGCACACAAGATTTCATATTTATCTTCACTACTTTTTCCCAGAATCAGCATTTAGTACGACAATCCCCTTCTGAATAAGAACTGTTAACATCTCAATTTGGAGTTTCTAATAATTACAGCATGTGTAACTTAATTTTAATTGAGACCCACATCGCATTAACAGTTACCACTTCATAATCTTAGCTTAATAAGACTACCTTGAAGTATTTGCCCATGTTAATCACTTTTCTATACAGTCAACTCCCAGGAAAACCGAATGCCCAGTATGACTTCTCAACCAGCACAACAGGGCTGCTGGATGCCACTGTTGAGTACTGCAGTTACATTTCACAATGTCCTTATACCAGGAGGTGAAAGGGCAGCACTCCCAAAAAAACAGTCACTTTCACTATGGCATCCCTGTTTTGGTACCTTTACCCTTAAGCGTAGCACTGATGGGAACTCTGAAAATCTGGTATTTTAACTTTTCTTATGGAGAAAACCAAGTCAAATTGTAAACGAAATAATTCCAAGAAATGCAAGGAGGGTCCGATTTTCAGATAGAAGCTCTGAAATGGTTTGTTGCAGCATCAGAATGAGTAGCCACAATATTTGTCCAAACAGTTGTTTTCACAGATCAAGTCTTTGTATATTAACCAGGAAGCTAAGAGAATTTTCAAAGATTAAGCAGGTGTCCTCAAACCCTTTTAGGATTTGATCTTGATAGATAGGTTCTTCAGTACAGACTTAGACATCCACAACTGATACTTTTAAGTATTACATATAGGCAACTCAACAGCGGATTACATGTTTAACTCACAGCTAGACAGAGCCATAACAGATTTAGGGAACCAGCCCAAGATACCCCAGTCTGAAAACTGAATCTTCAAAACTGGACTTGCTGCATATAGCTTTAAATTTTCCTGTTTCCTTCAACATGAGGAATTTCTGCCTCCAATTCCTTTTCTAGAACAGGCAGGACCCTTATGCATCCTAGGGAGATAAGGGCACTATTTAAGGCATAAAATCTGAACTCATATTAGAAATAATTAGATTGTGAGGTCAGTCCTGCAGTTAAAAATTGGTCTGAGACTGCCAATCTAATGCCTGAAAGACAGAAGGTCCATAAAGGTCTCCATAAAATAATTTATTTCCCATCTGCTTTAAAACATCAAACAAACAATTCTTTGTGCTCCTACTTTAACTGACTAGTAGACATCTGACCTGTTAAATCCATAGTTTATACATGTAAAACAACAATTCTGATTCTGAATTCCAGAATCTGAGGATGCATTTCTGTTACCTGAATGCTCAATTATGCACATTATCCAGAAACTGCTAAACTGTCTAGCAAATGGTGTAAACAAAGTTTGAAACCTCTCCTGGTCTCATTTTATTCTTGGTCAGACTAGACTAAGATTGACTAAAGAAGCTAGACCTCTATTCCCAGTAATAAAGAGCCCACAAATCATCCGAGCCTGCAAATTCAGAGGGAGTGATTAAATAACTATTCATGCCTATAGTACCGCGTGACAGAAGAGCAGACAGGGAAATAGGCTTCTAAGCCTGGCCAACAAAGGGTAGGGCCATTCCTCCTCCCTGGGAAAGCCCATATGCAGGCCCAGTGGAGGAGCCAGGGTTCAGCTGCAGCAGCCACAGGAATTAAGGGGAGCCCTGAGAATGCAGAATGCTCATTATGCCACAGAGCTGCTGCAGCCACTAAGTACCGGGCTGGTGGGGGGGGTGGGGAGGCACATGGTCGTAGAAAAGCTCTGCAATTAATTCTTTCCTTCTGGAAATCCATAGCAGTCAAACTACTCAGGGTAGCTCAGAAAACTGGGTCACTGGAAGAAGATAGAATTTTTCTTCCTCTATCTTGTTGAAATTTAAATCCTCCATATATTAATGAACTTAAGTACTGCTCTTGTATCATATCACCTTCTACAAATGCTGTTGAAATGCCTTTTCTTTCTGTTTCCACACTGAGG